ATTTTTAAAAATGTCTCCAAAAGTTTCCAAGTAAACCGGAAGTAATGTCAGGTCATTCTTCCAATTTACTATAGAGGAGAGCAGATCGAAGCCCATTCTGGCTTTATTTGGCTGTCCAGCCAGGGGATGCGTTGGCTGGTCGCTCGGGACTTTCGTTGGAATGGGAGATCTGAGAGAGACGTGGAAGGCGGGGGGGAGGTGATTTCCCATCCCACTGCTTCTACAAGTAATCGAGCAGCTAGTTAGCAGTTCTGATTGCTTGTACAAGAGAGCCAACCACCAGCTCTAAAAAACGGTCCCATGGATGGTGATGTCCAGCATCACTCCGGTATAACTGCCGAAAGTCCGGTGATGTACTGGTTTGTCAATGTGCTTCAAGGCCTCTTGCACACGAAAGTTCCAATTAGGTTCGGCTGTCTGTTTTTCAACCGGACCTGATCGGGCCCTCTATTCTCCTCTATGGGCAGTAGGATCTAAATGATCGTCCGTTTACACCCATCTTCCTCCAGATCTGATCCAATCCTGTGAAGAAAAAAAAAACAGAAGGGGATCTGTTCTCGGATATGAGGGCATCCCGGTGTAAATGGACAGCTCATAGAGCAGAGTGTTTGAATGGACCACTGTTCCCCGCAGGATTATGACTAAGGCCGTACCTACTGTACGTTTGATGTAATTATTTGTGGTCGATTCAATAAACGAAGATTTCAATGCAGTGGCGGTAGTACGGATCAATTTCTTCATTGAGATTTTCAACAATGAGCAACTGTGGATTGTGCACCTGCCTAGTCGCTGGGATGGACTCTTATACCTAAGAATAATTGGCCGATTTTCGCTCTGTTAGTGGGTCAATGGCACCGGCCGATTTTTGTGGTTCCTCCCCTTTTCGGTGATCGGGCATGTTGGAAAATTTGTGAAAAACAACCGATTTTCGACTCAATGATGGTCAAATCGTATGATCGTTTTACCAAAAAGAATATGTGCATGAGCTGTGACCTGGAAAAAACAGAAGTTTCGCCTGTTATATGGGGTGAACTTTATGACTTGGTCGCCCAGTTTTCAAAATCATTGATGGCACCATCGGATTACCGAGTGAACAACGATTTTCGGACGAAAAATCGTTCGGAATTCGAACCATGCATGGCCTGCATTCGTTGGGTAGCATGCACCTTTTTCCTCTCTTTGTCTGCAAAAAGGTGCATGCACCTTTCTAAAAAAGCGGCTGCAGGGAAAACCGCATGGTCTTTTTGACTATTTTTGGCTGTGGGTGGTTGCGAGTGCGGGAACAGGTGCGATTCCTGCACACGCAACCTGCAAGTTGGTTTGAACCGAGCGTAAGGCACCATGTACACGGGACACTCCATGTACACGGGCTGCGGGTGGTTGCGAGTGCGGGAACAGGTGCGATTCCTGCACGCGCAACCTGCAAGTTGGTTTGAACCGAGCGTAAGGCACCATGTACACGGGACACTCCATGTACACGGGCTGCGGGTGGTTGCGAGTGTGGGAACAGGTGCGATTCCTGCACCCGCAACCTGCAAGCTGGTTTGAACTGAGCGTAAGGCTCCATGTACACGGGACACTCCATGTACACGGGCTGCGGGTGGTTGCGAGTGCGGGAACAGGTGCGATTCCTGCACCCGCAACCTGGTTTGAACTGAGCGTAAGGCTCCATGTACACGGGACACTTCTCAACAATGGAAACTAACTGCTGGAAAACGTAGGTTAAAAAATGTCTGTTTAGCCACGTTTGTATACCACGTTCATGAGCGTTTGCGTTTGGAAGCGTTTTTTTTTTAAAGATAACCTCAAGAGACCTTCCAAAATGCCCAGGAAGCACTGAAAAACAGTAAAAAATTAACTATTTCAGACATTTTGAGACAGAAACAATTGAGTACTGTACGTGATACTTTTTTTATTTGCACTAACATACAATTTTGAGGACAAGCTTTCGGGGAATGTCCCCTTCTTCAGGTCCAAGCAGTCCTGATCACAATGTTTTAGCAGAATGTTATAAGAGATGTAGGGGATGGGAAAAAAAAAAAAAGGAGAACAGAGATAAGACACAGCAAAAGCAAAGTCTGGGGGGGCAACACTCACAGAGGCAGTCATGCTTGAGGTGATAGTTATAAAACTGTTGGATAATGAGTGAGGAATCCCATGTCCAAATTTAGGCCGTTATCCAATCACCTCAGACCTTTTGAGAGAAATAAAGAGAGCAGAAGCAGAGGACAGTATTTGTTGAGATTAGCGGCCTATTTTTTGTTGTGTTTGGATGTGTTCCAGCTCATTTCTGTGCAGAAATTATTGCAGCAGTATCTAACATATTTTTTTTCATGCACAGCCTCAAAGTATGGTGTACCGGGTCCATTTGAGTACCGGGAAAACGCTTTGCATGCATTTTTCATGATGAAAAAAGGCTCTGGACAGCATCTGGAAATGGAAGAGTTAAAAAAAATTTCCAAACTCAAATGCTTATAAACGCTGTTAGCCGCGTTTACACACATTTACACAAATTTACAAGCGTTTAGCATTTAAAACGCTGATAAAATCTACTCCTGAATGCAAGTTTGGTGCGTTCAAAAAAATGACTGTAAACTCAACTGCCTGTAAACGACGATCTGTACATGGACACATAGGAAAACATTAGGGAGAGTTCAGGGGCTGTTGAAAAAAACGCAGAAAAGCTCCTAAATGTGAGTTTATCAGCTGCAGTGTACAGGGAGACTAAGACTTCAAACACATTTTGTTTTGCTGCACCTCTGTTTTATTTACCTGATTAAAACTAAATGTTCAGTTGGGCTTTAAATTGTAGCTAGTCAGTCTATAACAGCAATGGGCAAACTACGGCCCGCGGGCCGTATACAGCCCGGCGGACCTTTTAATCCGGCCCGCGGAGAATGTGAGGGGAGCTAGGCTTCTCTCACAGTCTGCCCTGAAGACCGGTGTAGCATGAAAATCTGTCTCCTATGAGGATCTGTCCCCCTCGACATATCTGCGCATGTGCCGGAGATCGCCGATCGGCTGCTAATGCCTGAAACTGGCACATGCGCAGATACGTCGAGGGGGACAGATCCTCATAGGAGACAGATTTTCATGCTACACTGGAACGGCGCGGGAACACGGCGAGAGGAACGCGCGGAGCAAAGGTAAGTGAATTGACACAGGGGGGACTTGGGGACTTAATATGGGGAATGAATTAATATGGGGAATGAATTACTATATGGGGGATAAATTACTATAGGGGGGATGAATTACTATGGGGGGATGAATTACTATATGGGGGATGAATTACTATGGGGGGTGAATTACTATATGGGGTATTAATTACTATATGGGGGGTGAATTACTATGGGGGAATGATTTACTATGGGGGATGAATTACTATATGGGGGATGAATTACTATAGGGGGGAATGATTTACTATAGGGGGGATTAATTACTATAGGGGGGATTAATTACTATATGGGGGATGAATTACTATGGGGGATTAATTACTATATGGGGGATGAATTACTATGGGGGATGAATTACTATGGGGGATGAATTACTATATGGGGGATGAATTACTATGGGGGATGAATTACTATGGGGGATGAATTACTATGGGGGATGAATTACTATGGGGGATGAATTACTATATGGGGGATGAATTACTACATGGGGGATGAATTACTATATGGGGGATGAATTACTATATGGGGGATTAATTACTATGCTTACTATGGGGGAATATTACTATACTTACTATGGATGACACATACACATCATTCATCTACTCTTGGTCCGGCCCCCGGGTCCAATATATGAACCCATTGCGGCCCTCAAGTCAAAAAGTTTGCCCACCCCTGGTCTATAATGGTACGGGTTAATGATATTATCAATAATTTTGTAATATTTTATCATGTTGCTTCATATTTATGGTTTTACAATATATACATTATATGGTTTTACAAATAAACATTTCATACATGACAAAGGATTCCCAGAGCACTATGCATAGAAGTGGATGCCTGCCTTGGCCTTGGCAGGCTTTGTTTGATTGAAATGTTAGACTAATCTTTATGGCTCGCTTGGATGGGTCACTGCATCCACTTCTGTGCCGCTTTAGCTACAGAGCCTGTGAACAGAGCAAGCCTGTAAGCCTGATGGAGATGCATTTGTGAAAAGGAGCCTTAGGCCGACTCCAAAACAGAATGCATATTATGAATCTGTCAGATACACTGTATTTTAGTTCTGACCCTTATAAATAAAGCAGTTATGTAAACAACCACTACACTACATTCCCTTTAAGAGTCGTATAATCCTGGGTCCCAGCAGTCTTGAAGAGGTTAACCTAGCTCTTGTAGATTTGATCTGCAAGCCTAGCTCTTGCCAATAACGTATTTAATGGTGATAGACTTGCCACTGACTTTGTCTTTTTTTTTTTTTTTTTGCACATGTTGTGTGACATCTCATTAATACAACCCCATTTTTCAACTCCGGATTACAGTGTACTTGCTGAGAAGCCAATATCATTACCGCTCCTAGTGACCCTGGGAGAAATCGCTGTATCAATCAGCGAAATGAATGCCCAACGCCCTGCAATAGGCAGCTTCTCTCTATTCCAGGCAGTCCCTGATCTCTAGAGGTCCCTAATGACTTGCGGTATACATTTACATAGGGCATATATATGATGATTGCTCTAATGATGGGCTTCTCTGCAAGACTATCATCCTGTATGCTGAAAACTGCACAGAGACAAGCCACTGGGTAAAAAAAAATAGGTGTAATGAATTCAAAGAAGAAGAAGTCTGTTCACGCGGTATTAAGGACCACAGAGAACAAGAAACGTCTTCCCTGGTTGCAGTATGTTTCTCTCAGCATAAGTAAACTGGACCATCCTAACTTTCGGCGTAGCCTGATATTCGGTAAACTCTCAGGAATGCTGTTCCTTAACCACTTCTCGTCTGGCCACTGTATATAAACGGCCAGACGGTGGCAGTGCAGGGGCAGGTTGCTGTTCATAAATGGCGCCCTCCATTTTGGACTGTGCGCACTCCCTGGGAGTGCGCGGCACCGCGATCCGATCGCTGAACGGGACTCTTTGTGAGGTTCCAAACATCTGATCACTGATTGTCCAATCAGTGATCACATGAACAGTAGTAAACAAGATGTCACTTCCTGACATCATTTCTTACTAGGGTGAAATCCATGAATGATCACAGAGATCACATGGTACAGGGCTATTCACAACAGCCTTGTACCATGTGACAAGCTGTGACCAATCACAGTATTTCTCAATGGCTGCAGGAATGCAGCCAGAGAGAAGGAGAAATGATTGCTTTTACAGCCTTTATGGGTGTAAAAGCAATCAGTGTAAAAAAAAAAATCTTCATCACCCCCCACAAGTAGTACAGTGTCACTATGGTGCCACTGTACTGCTAGGGTGACAGAATGTTAAAAAAACATAAATAATAATATTTAATTTTTTTTGAAAAATGATAATTTTTGGTTATAAACTAATTTGGGTTATTTTTTTTTTACTAAAAGATAACTGAATACATTTTGGCCAAGCGTTATGAAGCGTTATTATTTATTTGCAAAATGTTATAAGAAAAACCCTTTTTTTTAAAAATTTTTGTACATTATCATTTATATAGCAAAAAAAATAAAAATCCCAGTGGTGAATAAATACCACCAAAATAAAGTTTTATCTGTCTCAAAAAAAATGCTAAAAAATTCATACGGGTACAGTGTTGCATGACCGCGCAATTGTCATTCAAAGTGTGATAGCACTGAAAGCTGAAAATTGGCCTGGACAGGAAGGGGGTAAAAGTTGAAGTGGTTAACCATCTCATTAAAATGTATTCATGTTTTATTAACTTGGTTTCTACAGCCCAAATGAAATCACAAAAATGTATAGGCAATCAAATAGTCACTGTGCTAGCAGCCTCCATTTTCCTAGTCTTACCCACACTTTCCTGTAATAGTTGATAGATTGTCTACATGGGACTATGAAGTCCATGAGGCACCTGAGAAGACCCAGTGCACCCAGTAATGAGCTCTCAGCAACAACCCTGGTCAGACCCACCTGCGTCTCTTCCCAAATCTTTGTGAGGTTGCTAGTGAAGAAGGGTGTGGCTGTTACTCTGCTCTGCCACCAAAGACAGCTGTAGTGGGAGAGCACAAAGCAGCATTTCACTGATAATTATTTAGTATTGTTTGTAGACCTTCCCCACTCAAACCAAACCTTAAAAAAGTTTGGCAATATATATACACTTGAAATAAAGAAGTTTGTGGCCTAGCGTGGAATTGATTTCCTTCGGCTAGGATGTAGATTGCACTTAAAAACCATGACTGCATATAATGGTGGGGACAAATGTTCTTTTGACATTGGTGTCAGGAAATTCCTGCCCATAGTGCAGGTGAAGTTCCACGGCGCACAAATATGTGCATGCGCAGAGTCCTTACGAGCCGAACAGATGTGCAGGCACTTGAACATGGCCTGTCACTAATGCTGGCGCCAAAAGGGCTATTTAAACTGTCTGCAGTAGTTATTATTATTATTATTATTATTCAGTATTTATAAAGCGCCAATAGTTCGCTCAGCGCTGTACATTACAAAGGGGGACAGAACATGTGACAGAACAATACCAATACAATGCAAAACATGAGGGGATCGAGGGCCCTGCTCTTTCAAGCTTACAATCTAGGAGGGAGGGGATGGTGGCACAGGAGGAGATAGCTGTGGGGGATGGAGTGGTAGGAAGAGTGGAGGAGGTCGGCAAGTTAGCAGGGGGGGGGGTAGGCTTCCCTGAAGAGATGGGTTTTCAGGGTGCGCCTAAAGGAGAGGAGAGTAGGTGATAATCTGATGGGTTGGGGCAGGGAGTTCCAGAGGATGGGTGACACCCTGGAGAAGTCCTGGAGGCGGGCATGGGAGGAGGAGACCAGGGAACTAGAGAGAAGGAGGTCTTGTGAGGAGCGGAGTGTGCGTGCTGGGCGGTACTTGGATATTAGGTCAGTGATGTAGTTCAGGGCAGTATGGTGGACAGCTTTGTACGTCAGTGTTAGGATTTTGAATTTGATCCGTTGCGCAATCGGAAGCCAGTGGAGGGATTGGCAGAGGGGGGTGGCGGAAACGGAGCGGTTGGAAAGGTGAATGAGTCTGGCAGCCGTATTCAGGATGGACTGAAGCGGGGATAGCCAGCGGCGAGGCAGGCCAGTGAGGAGGGAGTTGCAGTAGTCGAGTCGCGATATGATGAGGGAGTGGATGAGCTGTTTAGTGGTTTCTGGAGTTAGGAACGTGCGGATTTTGGCGATGTTGCGGAGGTGGAGTCTGCATGAGTTTGTTAAAGAGTGGACTTGGGGCTGGAAGGATAGGTTGGAGTCCAAAATGACACCAAGTACTCTGGCCTGCGGGGCGGGTTTGATGGTGGCGTTGTTGGACATGATGGAGAAGTCAATGGGGGGTGGTGTCCGGGCTGGAGGGAAGACAAGAAACTCGGTTTTGGAGAGGTTCAGTTTAAGGAAGTGGAGCGACATCCAGTCTGATATGTCGCTCAACAGGTGTGTGATTCGGGCGGAGACCGAGGGGGTGAGGTGGGGGGTTGAGAGATAGATTTGTGTGTCGTCGGCATAGAGGTGGTAGTTGAAGCCGTGAGAGTGTATGAGTTGGCCAAGGGAGGAGGTGTAGATGGAGAAGAGAAGGGGCCCGAGGACAGAGCCTTGGGGGACCCCAACAGAGAGGGGGAGTGAGAGGGAGGTGGTGGCATTATAGGTAACGCTGAAAGAGCGTTGTGACAGGTAGGATGAGAGCCAGGAGAGAGCAGAATCTCTGAGGCCGAGGGAGTGTAGTTTTTTGAGGAGGAGGGGGGGGGTGGTCGACTGTGTCAAAGGCCGCAGAGAGGTCAAGGAGTAGGAGCACTGAATAGTGGCCATTAGCTTTGGCGGTTAGCAGGTCGTTGGAGAGTTTGAGTAAGGCAGTTTCGGTGGAGTGTAGGGGACGGAAGCCGGACTGTAGGGGATCGAGGAGGTTGTTGTCGTTGAGGTGAGAGCATAGGCGGGCGTAGACTAGGCGCTCGAGGAGTTTAGATGTAAATGGGAGCAGGGAGATGGGTCTGAGGTTGTTCGGGTCATTGGGGTCCAGGGAGGGCTTTTTAAGTATGGGGGTGATGTGTGCATGTTTCAGAGGGGAAGGGAAAGTGCCGGAGGAGAGGGAGAGATTGAAGATGTGGGTGAGGGAGCGTAGGATGGAGGGGGAGGGAGGTTGTAGGAGTTGTGTGGGGATAGGGTCAAGGGGGCAGGTGGTGAGGCGGGCATCAGAGAGGATCTTGGAGACTTCTTCGATGGTAGTAAGGTCAAAGGTGCGGAGTGTTGGGGGAGCTTCAGTATGAGGAATGTAGGGTGGGGTGGGAGAGGAGGTCAGAGCAGTGGTGGGGCCGTGGGAGAGGGGTGTAGAGGGGGTAGCTGAGTGAGGGGGAAGGGGGTTGGAGGGAGTTTGAGCAGCGACGAAGTCCCTGTGGGTTATGTCGAGGGGGAGGGGGGATGAGGGGGTAGCTGTGTGAGAGGAGACGGGTTGAGAAGGCGTGCGAGTTGCGGCAATGTCCTTGCGAATTGTGTCAATCTTGTTTTTGAAGTGATTGGCAATCTCAAGGGCAGTGAGTGAGGTGCTGGGTGGAGGTGGGGGGTGGCGAGAGTAGAGAGTTGAAGGTGGAGAAGAGTCGGCGAGGATTGGAGGAGAGGGCCTTGATGAGGGTCAGGAAGTAGGCTTGTTTGGCAGTATGGAGGAAGGAGGTGTAGGTGTGGAAGGCAGATTTGTATCGGGTGAAGGCTTGTTGGGATTTGGTTTTGCGCCATAGTCGCTCCAGGGCACGACTGTGTCGTTTGAGGGTTTTGGTGTGATCAGTCTGCCAGGGCTGGAGCGGTCGGGGTCTGATGTTGCGTGTGGTTAAAGGCGCTAGTGAGTCAAGGGCTGTTGACAGCGCATTGTTGTAGGCGGTCATAGCCAAGTCGGGGCAGGTAGCAATCAAGGTAGTTGTCCCATTGCCGTATGGTCTTTCCCCTGCTCGTGTTCCATGATTCCTGTGATTGTCTCCTGATACCGAACCAGCCTGTTCCTGATCTCCGCTTGATTGCTACCTGCCCTGACCTCTGGTTTGCCTTGGATTATTCTTCTGTCTCTGCATCTGACTGATTGATCTTCCATTGCTGACCTAACCTATGACCTGACTACTATTCCTCCTGCCGCTTAAGCCTGATCTGCTTGACCAATACCAAACCCAGCTCATCTGACCCTGCATCCTCAGCACGCATCTCTCGAGTATCCATCCATCCAGCATGGCTACATCAGAACCCTGCTCCCTGCCTACAACTCATCAGCTCATCAGCTATTACTGGACTGATCACAGGCACTTATACCCCACCGTGCCCCTACGACCCCTGTCTCACCATCAGTGGTCTTGGAGCCGGAGTTGTATGGGAGGCCTGCCTCTTCTTGTCAGGCTCACTATCCAGGTACGTGACAATTGGGGCCAGAATAGACCTCTGATGCCTCCTCTGTGTCCAAATGAAGTGTTACCACCATAGGAGCTGTTGATTTTTACTGGTTCTTCCCCAAAAAGTGCAGGCAACAGTCCATTCACTCTGGTTCCATTAAACAGTCTGGGGGATGTCTTTTAAGATTGATCCCTTGCAGAACTTTAACAGGAGAGGGGTACTCCAAAATGCTTAAGAGCCGTTGGCACAGGACTCTCTTCTCTCAGTAAAGGTAGCACAGATAAGCTCTCACAGCTGGGAATCATGAGATAGTCTGTAGAACAGTTAGCGTCTTAAGCCAGCCATAGATGGATCGAATCTGAGCTGGTTCAGGAGGCACCAGCCAAGATTCAACCCATCTATGGGCAGGCTGGTTTTAGCCAACATCATTGAGTTCTGCCAGCTAGGAAGGTTCCCAGCCAGCAGAACACAATAGCACTGCGGGAAGGTTTCGCTGACTGTGTTGGTGGGGGAACTGAGTGATTTTTTTTCCTTCTACCCATGGAGAAAACAAGGAAAATAACAATCTATGGGCTGCTTTATAGCTGGGGACCGT